ATTTTTGGGAGTATTCAGATTTGTATAATTTTTGACAAGTATTTTAGAAGTTATAACTTAAGAATTTTAAATTTACATGAATGGAGTAATGGCCCAACATTTTGCGAAGCACACTTGTGCCACCCCGCTCTGCTTCRAAAATTAGATTTAAGATTTATTTAATTAGGTACTTCAAAATCTATTCTGCTTAAGAACAAGAAGTTAAAATACATGTTGTCATTTAAAAAAATAATGATAAAAATTGCACCTTACAATAGTTTAATTTTTGAAATATGAAGTATCTTATGTAAAATGAATCGACTGACTATCGATATTATACAATAAAATATATAATTATCAATTGATAATATAGGTAACTACTAACTATATTAATATATTTTTGATTTTACGTTTTTGTCTCATGAATGTAATTTTATCAAAATGTATTAATTATCTATTTTCAATTTATCTCAACGTATGTATAATATAAATTTATTAAACGTAAATAGTCTACTCATTTCTTTGATTTGATGATTTCGTATTGTATATCGTCGTTAAGTTTTCTATTTAAACATCGATTTGAGCTTACATGTTTGGTATATTTATTAGAATGTGATACCACTGAAAACTGAATCACTATAGTTATATAAAAGTATGAGACCTTGACCAACATTTTAATCACTTTGTCACGGGAGAAACAAAACAAAAAACTGGTTCAACTTCCGATTACATATTTCCCCCCCTCCCTTTATTTATAAATCTATCCTGCTGSAACATTGTATAAAAGAAAATTTCAATTTTAATTCTAATCCCAATACTACTTAACCCTAAAAATATCCTCAGTGCTTAATGCATCAACTAACGTGATGTATATAGGAGCAATATATGTATATAAGAAAAAAATGGTTTATTTATTTTTACAGARCTGTATTAGGTAAACGTCATATTATATTTTTTATTATAAATGTGTGTTGTCCTGTTTTATGTTCCAAATGATTCGATTAGTATATACTATATACCTATACCTAATACCTATATATTAATATATATAAACAAATTATTCACTTGTTTTCAATGTTCTTCAATAGATGTTTGTAAACATTATTTGTATTGGATTTTCAAAATAAAAAAATGGGTTTTTAATGATTTTATATTTTATATTAATTAAATCATTTTAAGAATAATCATATTGTGTTCATCGTTGACACACATCTAAGTTTTTTTTTGGAAACACACTAATTTGCGTCTMAGATAATGATTTTTTATTTTATTATATTTTTACGGGTTATTCACGTAATTGCGTAACAGGCGCTAGTTCGACCTACTAATAATAATTCAAGATACTAACTCATGAAACGGATAACTGGATTATTTTAATGTGTACCTGAAAAGTTACGATAACATTCCATGCGAGATGATGAATATTTTATAAGTATCTCTCTAGAGGACGCTAGCCATACATTTGTTGTCGTCGTCTCACATGACACACCACACACACGTAGGACTTGCAAGTTTTATTTGTTTACTAGTTTTAATAGTGTACTGTTAGTTTTTATAGTAGAGTCAATTGATCTGCTATCAAACTTTTAGATAAGAATATGTTACATGTGCTTATACATCGGCTTTTATAAAATATTTTCATTTTCAAGAGCGTAGGTGCAAATATGGGAGGCTAAGCCTGCTCCAAACTTTGTATAACCCCCCCCCC